CATATCTTGCCCTGTCCGACTTCTCCCTTCACCCACTTTTCTGTTGTCCTTCCCTCAGGGAGGAGGTCACATGTAGATCCTTCCCAATGTTTTAACAAATCCATTTGACCACTTGTGCTGCAGAACTGATGGCATAGTGGTTATACTTTGGGCTGCTTATCTACAAGGTCAGCAGTTCAAAACCACCAGCTGCTCTGAAAGAGAAAAGTCTGGACTTTCTACTCCCATCAAGAGTTATAGCCTCAGACACCCGCAGGAGCAATTATATCCTGTCTTAGAGAGGGTCGCCAAGAGTCAGCAGTGAGTTTGTTTTGGGGGTCCAGTTGTGCTGCTAGGTCAGGAACAGTATCGGATTACCCACTAAGCAAGGTAAACACGGGTTTACTTATCAGTCTATATAGTGAACCATTTTGCATGTTTTCACATCAAAGATTCTGGGTCTGGCAGGCAGCCATCTGTCCTCCAACCCCACTGCACCTTCCTACAGACTCAGCATCGTGTGACATTTACGTTCCCTCACAGGCCAGGAGTGCTCAGTTAGCAAGGTAAGCATGGCTTGTTTACTACATCCTAATAAGTAAACGCAAGTAAGCCCACGCTTCCCTTGGTGACTGGGTACTCCGTGGACTGAGCAGCACCTGGGAGTGCTTTAGGCATGTGAAAGGACACGTGGCCCCCAGGAGAAGGAAGCCCCGTAGGAAATGGGCTGTTGTGGTTCACACGCTCATGGTACAATCTGTGCCCCCGCTCTCTCTGGTTGAGTGCATGTGTATTAGCAGCATCTCCTTACCTCATTTTCTTCTTCCCTCTGGCAGATTTGGAGTTAAATGGGTTGGAATCTGGGAGTGCAGATGAGGACCCGATGGATCGAGAACCCCGGCGCTTGAGCAGTAGGCGCTCTGTCCTCACTAGCCCTGTAGCCAATGGGGTCAACCTGGATTATGATGGACTGGGCAAAGCCTGCCGGACTCTGCCAAGTCTGAAGAAAACGCTGTCCAGTGACTCCTCTTCTGACTCTAGCCGGGGTTCCCACAACGGCCAAGTGTGGGATCCCCAATGTAGCCCTCGAAAGGAGAGGCAGGTGCATCTGACTCATTTTGAGCTGGAAGGCCTTCGCTGCCTGGTAGATAAATTGGAGTCTCTGCCACTGCACAAGAAATGTGTCCCCACAGGAATAGAAGATGAAGATGCCCTCATTGCAGACGTAAAGGTAAGTGCCTGTGCTGAGAAAAGGCATCTGCTGCGCTAGCTGGGGCTTAGAGGGAGAAGGTGCAGAAATTCTGATTGTGATTCATCCGGAGAGTAGCTATCTGTGTGCACCTACGTTGTTCGGAGTTTCCATTGCTGAGTGAGGTTCCAGCCTCATGAAAACATTAACAATTGTACATTCACTTGCACTTAAGCCCTAAAAACAGGTTTCAGACTGATCCTCTCCATTTCATATAAAGGAGAGCCAGAATGTGTGTAGTAAGAAATGCTACTTTAAACTTGGGTATGGGGAGGAGATGAGCCAGTCAGGGTGCGATGTAGCAACGAAGAAAAATACAACTTTCCTCTAGTTCCTAAATGTTTCCTCCCCGCTCCCACTATCATGACATGAATTCTGCCTTGCAATTCTGGCTAGACCAGAGGATGTACACTGGTACAGATAGGAACTGGAAACACAGGGAATCCAGGGCGGATGATCCCTACAGGACCAGTGGTGTGAGTGGTGATACTGGGAGGGTAGAGGGAAAGTGGGTAGGAAAGGGAACCGATTACAAGGAACTATAATGTGACCTCCTCCCTGGGAGATGGACAACCGAAAAGTGGGTGAAGGGAGATGTCGGACAGGGCAAGATAAGCAATTTATAAATTATCAAGGGCTCATGAGGGAGGGGGGAGCGGGGAGGGAGGGGGGAAATGAGGACCTAATGCCGGGGAGCTTAAGTGGAGAGGAAATGTTATGAGAATGATGAGGGCAATGAATGTACAAATGCGCTTTACACAATTAATATATGTATGGGTTGTGATAAGAGTTGTATGAGCCCCTAATAAAAGGATTAATAATAATAATAAATAAATAAACGAGTATCCACAGATGAAGAAGAAGCCTGTTTCAGGCCTAAAGGAGTTGATAAAGGGCACCAATAGTCTCACATCAAGCAGATTGAAAGAAAAAAAAAAACTTGTTCTCTGTTGGGTTGTGTTAGGAGTAAGTAGGTTTAGTATCTTTAGTTACGCATATAGCTAGTATTAAGACTTAAATACATGGAACCAGCTTCTAAGAAAAATATCACTTTAAGTATAATCCATTGTACTGCTTTATCAAGGCTTTTCATATTGTACATTTTTCTTCCTTTTCGAGAATTCTCCCAGCATCTGTCGTTTTCACAGCTCGTGTATTGGTCTGAGAAATTGAAGTTATTTGTAAGAAATCCAGATTTGTTCTGTTTTGAGTTGGAGGGAATTTTAAAGTCTTTCATGTGAACATCAAAAATGTAGAACTGGGAATAATTTTTTTTTTAACGTCTAGGTGTTGGGAGCTGTTTTGGGTGCAGGACATGACTGCATTATAAGGCTAGTTCACAATTTGTAATTCATGTTACCTTAAAAACATGTCACACAGATTACTGTAAATCACAGGAGAATTTGTAAATAGGGAATAATTTTATGTGGCCTCCAGAAAGGCTATAGATAGTACAATAGGTCCCTTCCATTTGGGGCTTTAAAAGGCTCAAAAGAAGGGCTGATCTGGTGATGTCGGTCCTCTCCCATAGTGACAGAAACTGGACAATTGGTTTTAATAGTTTATTTTTGTGAGGTTTGTGAGTGATGTCACCTTGGCTTGTACTTAAGGAGGAGGGAAAGAACAAAGTTCTCCATAGATAGTGCCCCTTCTGTACTGCTTCATGTGTAACAAAACAACTTCCTGTTCTTAAGTGCTGTCCAGTTGATTCTGACTCACAGCAACCCGCACACAACAGAACACACCCTCCTGAGCCCTGTGCCAGCCCCAGTCACTGCTGTGTGTGAGCCCATTGTGGCAGCCTGTTTCAGTCCATCTCTACAAACTCTTCTCTTTTTCCCTGACCCTTTACTTTACCAGGAATGGTGCCTTTCTCCAGGGACTGGTCCCTCCTGGTAACATGTCCAAAGAACATGAGAGGAAATCTCACCATCCTCATTTCTAAGGAGCATTCTGGTTGTGCTTCTTCCAGGACGATTTGTTCACGGTGTCTATTCACTACCCTTTGCCAGAAGGGTATTCATTTCTTGGGTCCTTCTTGCTGCCTACTTTTCCTGAGGCCACTTTAAAATGCCATGGCTTGGGTCAGGTTCCCCTTAGTCCTCAAAGTGACAGCCTTGCTTTTTGACATTTTAAAGGATGTCTTTTGTAGCAGATTTGTTCGATGCAGGACATCATTGATTTCTTGATTGCTGCTTCCATGGCCATTGATTATGGATCCAAGTAAAGTGAAATCCTTGATAAATTCAGTTTTTTGTTTTTTCCCATTTATCACGATTGTGCTCATTGGTCCAATTGTGAAAATTATTATTTTTCTTTATGTTGAGTTGTAATCTGTACTGAAGGTCTTTTCTTTTATCTGTAATTCCTTCAAGTTCTCCTTACTTGTAGCTTATAAGGTTGTGTCACCTGCATATTGCAGGTGGTTAACCTGTCTTCTTCCGATCCTGAGGCTGCTGTCTCATATAGTCCTGATTCTCAGATTACTTGTTCAGTTTACACATTAAATAAGTGTGGGGCAAGAGCACAACTCTAACACACACCTTTCCTGGTTTTCAACCACACAGTATCACCTTGTTGTGCTCTAATGACTTCCTCTTGATCTATACGAGTTCCACAGGAATACAGGGAAGTGGTTCTTGAATTCATCTTCTCAATGTTATTATCCACATAATCATATGTCTGTGCATAGTAAAACATAGGTAAATGTCTTTTTTGGCATTTGTTACCTTTCAGCCAAGATCCATGTGACATCAACAAAAATATATCCCGTATTTTATTTCCTCATCTGAATCTAACTTGTATTTCTTTTTTCTTTCTAAAGATCATTTTATTGGGGACTCGACTTGATTTCTTATATTTCTGTCAGTGTACGACAATTTTTTTTTTACGACAATTTTTTTAATGACAATTTGCATGTCATATTGATAGTGCTTGATAATTTCAATCTGTGGGGTCACCTTTCTTTCAAGTGGGCACCAATATGGATCTCTTACAGTATTTGGAAACCAGCCAGTTAGCTGAATTCCACATTTCTTAGCATAGATAAGTCTAAGTTGTCCTGGCATTGCACCCTTAATTTTTATTATTATTTTGGAATCTCTCGATTGGTAGTCTGTATTCTTGGAGCTTTTATTTTCTTTTGCTAGTGCCTCAATGCAGCTTAGACTTCTTCCTTCAGTCCCATTGGCTCTTGATCATATGCTGCATGTTGATTGAAATGGTTGAATGTCAGCCGATTGTTTTGGTACAGGGAATCTCTGTATTTCGTCTTTTTTTTTTTAATGCTTCCTGTATCATTCAATATTTTGCCCATGGAGTCAAGCAGTATTGCAACTCAAGGCATGAGTTTTTCTTCAGTTCTTTCAGCTTGAGAAATGCCGACGCGTGTTCTTACCTTATGGTTTTCCAATGCCAAATCTTTGCACATTTCATTTTAATACTTTGTCTTCTCAAGCTGTCACTTGAAATCTTTGTTTAGCTCTTTTATTTCATCATTTCTCCTAGTCACTTAACTACTCTGTGGGGAACAGCAAGTTTCAGTATCCTTTTGTATTTATTTTTTATTTTAAATCATTATTAATTGGGAATTAATACATATATTATTCCATAGTTCAGTCACATCAAGGAGTATTGTCCAATTGCTGCCACAGTCCATTTCCAAGCATTCTCTTTCTTCCTGGACTCCCACCACCACCACTGTACCTCCCTATCCCCCGAAACCCTTATTCTGCTTGGCTGTCCCTATAGGATCATCCTCCATGGTTTTCATATACCAAAAGACAGAAAGACATAACACAGCTTTAAGAGGGTGACCTCCAATGACATAACACCTCTGTGATACACCCTGATATGAACAACCGAAAACAAAACAAACACACAGAAAATGTTGAAAACCAGATCAGAACCAGCGTGCATCAAAGGGGGCGAGCAACTGACGAAGTTTTAATTGTTCAAGCCAGATTTAACCCTTTGATCTTCTATACTTATCTCTCTAATGCACTCTGTTTGTAACCACTTTCCTCCCATCCCTCAGTTATGGATAGAAGGAGATCACCAGAGGCTTATTTCCTATGCAGTTCCCACAAATGTATCTTGGGCTACCACTGTCATCCATAGCCTTCTGCAAACTGGATTCTCACAATTTAAGCCCTGGTACTAATCCCTCCTTCAATTTTGGATTATATGATTTACAATCTTCTGGTGACTAATGGTGGTGTCCTTCTTCTTTGTGGACTTAATTGACATCTCACATAGATGGCTGCTTATGTGGCGACAAGCCTTTAAGACCCCAGACTCTATCTAGATAGCCAGGCACCTAATTCCTAATTTCTTTCCCACATTTGGCTGTAGCACCATATCTTTTGTGGTCCCTTCCTGAGGGTGAGTAATGAGCCAGAGCCATGATGTATGAACTAATTGTTCTTAAGTTGGAGCTAAGCTTCAATGTGAACACAAAACCCATTCCTGGATCTCCCCGTTAATTTATGGATAGAGAGTCTTATTAGTCATCCCCCTCATCTCTTCTGATGTCCACTTGGGTCTTTTCTATCTTTTAAATGACCTTTTCCTTCATGTGTGATACATCGAAGTCATCCTCTGCCTTATCTGATCTCCAGTCATTACTGCTCAGTCTGTCAAATCTGTTATGGAGATGGTCTCTGAATTCAAGTAGGATATACTCAAGGGAGGGTGTATTTTGGATCTTATCGACTTGTTTCAGTTCTCTTCAGTTTCTGCTTGAACTTGCATATGAACAGTTCATAGTCTGCCTTATTCTGACTGACACTGAACTTCTCCATTGTCTCTCTCTCTCTCTCTTTTTTTTTAGCATTAAGGTTTTTTGTTTTGTTTTTTAATCATTTTATTAGGGGTCATACAACTCTTATCACAATCCATACATACAGCAATTGTGTAAAGCACACTTGTACATTCATTGCCCTCATCATTCTCACATTTGCTCTCTACTTAAGCTCCTGGCA